AAAAAAATTTTTTTTTTTTAAAATGGCAAGAAAATTTATCGAATTTTGTTCCGGTTTTTTGGTTTTCCGGTTTTCTGATTTCCGGATAACGGGTTCTGTACTGTATCATAAAAAGAGGAGTAAAGATGAAAGGTAAGTTATTTAAAATACAATTTATTTATTTTAATTTTTTACTTTTACTCGCTTTATAATAAAATCAATCAAGTAACATTTCTACTACGCTTTATATGATTGATTTTCTTAAAAAATCTGCATTCTTCCCTTGTTACTGTTTATCTCCTCTCCTTACTTAGTCAAAATTCAGGTGGGGGCTTAACCAATATTTTACAAACCTAAGTTATAGGACATTAGTTACTGTACCAAACTTTAGACGATAGAGTAGGGGTGCAAAACCTTTTTGAGTGAAGGGTAACATGTACAGTAGGTTCACCAATGAAGGGCGGCATGCCAAGTATTTAAGTATGTTGACTATAAGTAAGGTAATTTTTATGTGAACATCATTGTTTTAGATACTAAATTTTTTAATCAGTCAACTTAGTAATATATTTGCAAAAATTAAATGTTTTAAATAGTAAAATTCATTCAATCTTGAAAAATTCTCAAACTGATAATTTTTAAAATATAATAATTTTTCCTTACAGTCAAAAATCATACTTATCGAAAAAAATAAAAAGATGGGGAAATTTTATCACATAATAATAAGGTTTATTTAAAAATAAATAAACTGTAATATAAAATAATATAATATAAAAATAAGATAAATAAATATTTGAGTGAGCAATATAAATGCAAATTAAACATTTTAGTTAAATAAAATTTTATAGTTGTCTAAAATGTTTTAAAATAAAACAAATATATCATAGCTCAAAATAAATTGCACTTTCATAGTAATTTTAATACATTTATATTTAGAGATTTATTAAATATTTTCTGGATGTTAAATTTTAAACAGTATTTTTAAGCTACAAAAAATTATAAGTTAAAAAAAAATTTTTTTTACCCATGTTGTAATAATACTGTATTAAAAATATCGAGGTCTTCAAAAGCCTTGCAGGAATGAGTAGCAATAACTGCCAGAAAAGAATCATACAATATATATTGATGATGATATCCGCACAAATAAAGTAAGTATTAAAAAAAGTGATTATTAAAATGCGTAATTTGAAAAACACGAATCATAATATTGTATTCAAAATATTGGGATTTTCAAAATGATGAAGAAAGTTGTAATAACTGCAACAACAAAAAAAGAAAAAAGAAAAGTAAATCATTTGGATTGGCGATGGAATCAACACAAATAAAGCATGTCGAAAAATGATTATTAAAATGGGCGATTTGAAGCTCGATAATTGTAAGAATATTTTCATTCATATCAGGAGTTTCAAAACCATGAGGAAATGTGAAGCAATAACTATCGAGAGAACAATAGAAAAAAATCCCCTTAGCTATGTGATGAAATCAGCGCGAATAAAGCACTCATTTTAATGCATGATTCGAGTCTCGTAGTACATATTAAAAATATTGGGATTTTCAAAATCATCTGGAAATGTGGAGCATTAACTGCCAAAAAAATTATGGGAAAATAGCTTGGATTTATGAGGAAATCGGCACAAATAAAGCACATAAAAAATAATGGTATCTCTATTTTAAAATTTGTGTATCAGAATAATATAACAAAAAACAGGATGAATTTTAAAACTGTGGAAATGCGTAGCAATATTTGCCTAAAAACCTAACAGATTTATGAAGAAATCAGTGCAATTTGAATACGCAATTCAAAATTTGAGTTTAATATTGAGTCAGTAAAGAGGAAAAAAATCATATTTCTTCCATTATGTTCAGGAGCTTCTTCAACCGGGCCGCATTTCAACAACTGACGAGCCACAGGTTGTGCACCTCTAGGATAAATTGTATAAAAATTCTTTCTAATAATGATTAGCAAAATCGCAATCATTAAATTAAATTTACATGATAATAATTTCATTTTAATAATACAAATTCTTGATGTCTTTCAGAAATTCTTATTTTGTGCTTTGATATCTATTTTAAGAAATTTTCGAACCTAGGAAAATTGGTAAATGAATTGTTAAATAATTGATAAATAAATTTATTATTTTACATTAAAGTAACAAATACCTGTTGGACATATCATCATCTTCACCACCCCATCCCCAAAACTCATTTGAAAAACCATTGACTATTTTCATATGCTTTTTGCTCAAGGCACTTACTCCTCCAAAGATGTCTTTGTAAGGTAATCTAATAAATAAACATAAAATTACAGTTTGATATAATTAAGACTATTTTCATCATTAAAAAATTATCTAAAGAATATTTACCTATAATTCATTGTGTTGATTGCCACAGACATGTGGCGTGGTTGTTCGGGACAGTTATATAAGTTGCGATCATCTTCTGGAATGAGGTCAACATCATGAAAAATAAAACAATCATATGGATATTGTTTGGAAGCTTCTACGTATCCTATATTCATTAACATTGCTCTATTGAACTTCATATTAGCTGTCTGGAAAAAAATAAAATTATATTTTAGATTCAGAAATACATGAATGATTTTATAATTAACCTTTAACTTTTCAGGTGTATTTCAATATTTATTTTCAAAAATAACCTTTTATTTATTATATTTTTTATGTACATAGGTGACATTGTTCCTATAAAGTAAAATTGTAATGATGGTTATAATGTGGCAATGCTTAATCAGGGGTCTGTTTAGGAGAAATATGGGTTCATTAATGGACCCTTCACAAAATATCTTTTCATAAAAACGGACCCTTCACAAAATATTTTAACTTAAAAACGGACCCTTCACAAAATAATTTATCTTTTAATCTGAACCTTCACAAATTTGTTTATCTTCATTATTGTTTGCTAATCGAATAAACCCTTCCCAGGAAGGGGGGTGGGGAGAAAGACAGATGTAAACGAACTAAGTTTTGTCATCGGACCCTTCACAAAATAATTTATCTTTTAATCGGAACCTTCACAAATTTGTTTACCTTCATTATTGTTTTGTTAATCGAATAAACCTTTTTCAAGAAGGGGGGGAGAAAGACAGATGTAAACGAACTAAGTTTTGTCTTCGGCAGACGCTTTTTCCTTTATTCGTTCGAGATGAATACTCTGTTACGAGCAGTATAGGCTAAATACCAAATATTTATATGTTGTATCTCGAATTTAGTAGCAGCAATTGCTGTTTATTCTTGAAAATTTAATTTTTTTAATTATAATTTTACATTGTTGAACATAATCTTGTATCTATTTACAATTTAAAAACTCCTTGAAAAAGTTTTTTCCAATAACAGGACCCTATTTGCACAAATTCACAAAAACCGGACCCTGGTTGGAAGAATGTGACTTAACTCGTATTTTATATTCACAAATTACGAGTAATTTTTTCACAATTTTACAAAAACAGACCTTTCACAAAATATCTGGACAGACCCCTGCTAATTAAAGCCTTGGCTCTTCATAACAAGCAATTTTGTTCATCCTAAGCGTTTCGTTAACACCCTACATTGACGTCAGGGGAAAGATTATATTAAGATATCACCTTTGAGCTTGAGTATCAGCAGAAATACTGAGATAAACATCATGAAGAAAGGAAAAATATTTTATTGCTTTAAACAAATATCTTCTTTTTTTACATAAAAAAAACATATATTTTAAAATAAACTATCATAATACAAAACAAATAGTGCAATGAGTTCGTATGCAAGTTTTTCATATTATTTAATAATTTTTTTTTAAACTAAAAAGTTAAAAAAAGTAGTTTCTTTCCAAATTTTGAATAGTAATTAAAAGAAAGTTTTTTTTTTTTTTTACCAATTTTCATTTTATCTTAAATATTATATATTTCTGATAATTATACAGTGCAACCTCGAAAATCCGGACTGCTGGGGGGTTCGGAAGGTCCGGATTTCCGAAATTTCCAGATTTTAGATACCTTACTTGAATTGATAGAATTATCGAAGTTTCGAATTCGCCAGGCCGATTTCGCGATTAATCACGTGTGAGTATTCCACCGACATCAATTTTAACATAAATATACTCCTTAAATAATAAATAAAAGACATTAAAAATCAAACTTTCATCATTTTTCCCCGCAATCGATTGTTTAGATACCATAACATTAGCAATTAAAACTAAAAATATAGGCTTAAAACGCGAGCTGAATTTCAACTTATAACCGAAACAGATGCTTCTAGACTAGACTGTACCAGCTGATAGTAATCCTTTTTTTGTTGGGGGATGAAAGAACTTGTCCCCGCCTCCTAAGCTTCAAGGTTAAGAAAGAACCAGTTTTTTTTCATCACAAGGGGGAAAAATAAGGAGATGGAAGAATTCCTCCTTCTGAGGGGATTCCCCTCCAGGAGGAGGGGGGATTCCCTTTTATATTCTTTATTATCTATACAGAACTGATAAGAATGACTGGAATTTCCTTATCAGCTATGAGCTTTCATTCACACCCCACCTCTACCTCTTTATCTACTGCTTCATTGTTGGAGAAGAGTTGTGGTTTTGCATTAAAATTTTTATTCTGAGCGATTTTTTTAAAATATTTTCTTTTGAAAATTTTTTCTGAGGAACTGGACGTATGAGTCCGGATTTTAGGGATTTCCGGATTTTAGGGATTTCCGGATTTCAGAAGTCCGGATTTTCGAGGTCGTACTGTACCTAAATTTATTCTAATATGGAAGAAAAACAATATAAAATTTATAATTACCAGTTGTTTTAAAAAAAAAATTTATTATTTTTTATTTAAAAATAATGAAATAAAAGTTATTTACTAATTTTTATATAAAACTACAATTCATAATATTTTTTTTTTACAATATTTAATTGCAGAAAATATTGGTTTAAAATTAAACCAATTATTCCCACTCAACAAATAAATAAGTCAAAGTATACAAACTTTTATATTCAATGTTAAGTTATAATTAGCTTAAGTTTATTAAAAATACTGATTCTTTTTAACCTTTAGTAGGTAATTAAAAAAAATTAGTTAAAAAAGCCATAAGCAATGTGACCACTCTTTGATCATCCATGGGGGAGTGATTAGCTTTATCTTTTAATGTTTCAAAGTTTGTAGTGGTTCGGTGGCGCACATAAACTTAGGGGAAGAATTCTACTGAAAGAATTTTAAATGCGCCCATCTTAGACAAAACAGTTATTTTTAAAATTATAATATGAGACAAGAACACCATGAAGAGACATTGGGGAGTTTATAATAACTTATTTTAATTCATATTAATTTGGAAATTTTAATTTAAATTATTTTAGGATGAATTAATTAATTTATTTTTTCCATTTAACTTAGTAATATATTTGTATAAAATTATATTCTTTTAAACACTAAAAACTGAAGAAAACCAAACTGATACTTTTCAAAATAGAAATATTTCCTTTTTATCAAAAAAAAAATTAATAAATAAATAAATTTATTGAAAAATATAAAGATGGGTAAAATATGACTGTTTCTTATCACATCATGTAACACAAAAGTGTATTTTAAAATAAATTAACTGTTATGTTCTTGAATGAAAGTAAAAATAAAAAAAAAGATGAATATTTTATTGAGCAACATAACTGCAAATTAAATATTTAAATAAAAGAAATAATACTGAGTCTAAAATGTTTTAAAATAAAACAAATCATTTTAACTCAAAATAAGATTCAGAATTCAGTTGGGATAAAGTTCAATACATTTTTAACCTTAAGACATTAATATTTAGTGGATTATAAAAGATTTTATGAATGTTAAATCTTAAAACGGTTTCTTTAATTACTTTTTTAAATTACCAAAATTAAGAAACAAAACTAAAAATTATAGTATACAGGTTAAAACTCACAGTCGAATTTTGCGTTTTGTAATAAATTTGTTCTGTTAAAAAAAAAAAATCAAGATATAAAAAAAGGGATACTAAAATAACAGGGTTTGACGATGAAATCAACAGAAATAAAGCACGTCAAAACTATTGATTAGAATGTTTGATTAAAAAATCACAAATCCTTTTAATATCGAATTAAAAATATCAAGATTTTTGAAACCACATGGAAAAGTCAAGCAATAACTGTTGAAAGAACGATAAAAAAAATCGCTTGGATTTACGATGAAATTGGCACATATTAAGCACATACATTTAAATACACAATTCCAGTAGTGCCGTATCAATACGTACTAAAAATATTCGTATTTTCAAAATCATGTGGAAGTGCCTAGTGCCATAAAACAATAGAAAAATAGCCTAGATTTCAGATAAAATTGACACAAATAAAGCACGTCTAAGGTGATTACAACTTCCAAGATTCTAAAGGCGGGAGTTGTTATGATATTGTATTAAAAAGATCAGAACTTTAAGAACTGTGTGAAAATCTGACAATAAGTGAGATCAAAAAGTCACTTGGATTAATCATGAAATGGACTTAAAGAGCTTTAAAAGTGATTACTAAAATTTGAAATTCATGCATCATAATTTTGACATATAAAAATTGTCGAGATTTTTACAATTTTGGAAATTTGCAGTGATAACCACCGAAAAAAAGAGTTAAAAAAATTATAATAGTTTTTTTATTATGTTCAGGTCCTAATGCAGGTCATAGGCTGAGCACCCCTATCATGTATTCGATTATTTCTAGATCGTGCACGCTCAAACCACATGCCCTCCCTGCGTTGCGGGGGTGTTATTTACCCCCACTGTAGTGGTTGATTAAATATCGAGTAGTTTAAGAGGTAAAAACTTTTAGTGGTTTATATTATTATTTTAAAAAAATGTGACAGATTTTAACCCACTGCCGTTGATAGGTTTAATGTACGAAAAGAAAATTATGATTTTAAAATAATATCGTGTCATAATATTTATTTACAATGAATATTTAATATATTTTTCTAATTTTAGGGCATTAAAAGTATTAGATATGTAAACATTTGTTTGCCATTATATGAACATTTTCAAAGAATAAATGTATAATATATTATTTCGTCAGTTTTATAGTTTCAGAACAGATATAGTTGAAAAATTACAAGAATTTAAGAAAAATAATAAATTTATTTTTCTTAAACACAAAATCACGGTAAATAGATCATTTAAAGGGCATCTGTCTATTGATCACTATATGAACCACTAGTTAAAATTATATATATAAAAAAAAAATATTTGCACATTTAGTTTAAAGTGCACAATAACAACATACACAAGATTTCATGAGCAAATATACAAGTTAATTTAAGTTACAAATGTTGTTTTCCCTCATTAAATTTAGCATTACAAAACTTTTTAACAACTTTTGCCATCTTAAGGCAGAGCTTACTGCATGTTAAAATTAAAGCTATATAGATTCGAGTGGCAGCTAACACTAACTTTTGGAGTCTGATGACATATGTTGATTGTTAGCCCTTAGTTCCTGCTCACTTGCACAAACAAACCATATCATAAGGGTCAATTAAGAGAGAGATTGAAGCAACTGAATACAATAACCATAAAAGAAAAAATATGATTGAAATAAAAAACAATAAAAAGATAAAAGATAACAGCCAAAAACAGGGAAGGGGATGATCCTAAGGACACTTAAACAATGAGAAATATATTACCAAGAGGAAAAAACTTAAAAAATCTTTAATCTGTTTAACAAATACAGCCAAATAAGAATGTAATTATCTATCTCAGGGGTTTCCAACTTACATGAGGCCGAGGACCACAATTAAAAACACAAGTCAAATGACGGGTCGCAACTTTATCAAAATTTTATATAGGACTCTTTTATGTTTGAAGAAACATTAAATATTACTGTCAGATTTTTACCAAGTTGTTCAAAACAAAAGTATTGAATTACAAATTAAAATAAGAAGTAGATTTTTAAAAATATTTAATTGCATATTCAAAAATTCGGGCTACAATAACTTTAATGTGCACCCATGTATTAAACAATTAAGGTGCAACAGATATCTAATTGTTAAGATATAAAACTTTAAAAAGGTTGGTATTAAAACTCACATAGTAGCACACAAAATGTTCAATGACAAAATTGAGGTTTGTCTGCTGCAACCACCAGAGAATAGATATTTACATTTTAAATTTACAAATGTGTGTGTAAATATTTTCGTCCAAAATGAGTGGTTTCAAAAAGTTAAATTCGGAGAATTTCTTCGAGAAAATTTCTGATACACTCATGCTAAATTATATTCACAAATTACAAAAAAATTAAATAAAAAAGAGCAACATACACGATTATTTTTGCACTTGAATAAATATTTTCTTGGATGCAAAACCTGAGAAATAATTTTTTGTGCATTGTTGGTATGATAAATTTCACAGAAATGAAGAAATTAGGTTTTTATTAAGGAAAAAAGTATTTTAATCCCATTTAGATTTTTTTCGGAAATTGTCCGCAAAAAATTAACAACTAATATGTTTTAGTACACAGGCCACAAAAAAGGCTTCGCGGGCCGCCAGTTGGAAACCACTCAATCCATCTCAACAGATAATTATTTTAAAATATATTAGTCTGATAAAAGAAAATCGTAATGCTTTGAGCATTTCTCAAGATAGCATTTAAATTAAGGATTGAAGAGACTTAAGTCTCTTATTCTATAGGATTAAAGATACATATAATTAGTTTACACAATATAAAAAAATGCAGGCAGAAAGATACTTAAAATTTAAATTAATTTGACAGATTTTGCAGAAATTCACTTAAATGTTCAATATCAACAATTTTAAAGGAACTCAAAGCATATTCTGAATCAATAAGACAGATGGTGGATCGATGGAACAAGTTAGGAATAGGATCCTAGCTCTATCTCAAATTCTAACCACTCTTTTAGTTACATTTTCACTCATAGATGAATGAATTTGCGATATTTCCCTGCTCCTAAAAAGTTGAAATACATCACGCCTAAACTATGCACCACCAAATTTTTAATTGATGTATTTCAATCCCCCTATTTAATTATGTGCTCAATGCTTTATATTGCATTAATGCTATAACACTCAGCTCTGATAATCTAGTATTAAACTTGCATTCATAGTGTTCAAACTTTACAAAATGGCAAAGGGAGCAAACCACTTTACTGTGGCTTTGGGAGTTGAACGGAGAGATTGTTTCAGCATGTTAGTGAAGCATTATTTTTTCATTTTTTGTGGTTGGTTATCAAAACTTTTGTTTGAATTTTTTTATGTGCGTGACTGCCAATATCTGCATATTGTGCTTATTATTTGTAAATATTTTCAGTATTGTTTCATAAATGGTACTACATATACTTGAATGGTATTCCGTTTTATTCCTTTTAAGCTGCTATTTTATGCAATATGCCAGTAATTTCTGAGAATATTGATCAGACGCACTGGAGCGTCAGTGGCACTCACGAAGACAGGTTGAGTCGGTGTGCCACTGACGCTCCAGAGCGTCGGAAAGAAAACGCTCTCTAAACAGGAAAATAATATGTCTCTTCATTTTTCTGGTTTGCCTAGTAAAATATAAGGAACAATTAAACCATTGAAACCCAGTTTGTAATCCGGCTTCTGAGGATGGAAATATTATTTTTAGTGGCAGCGAATGTGTTAAATCTTGGCATAAAATGAAATTTATATTATTTTAAGTCATTTGAACTAAATTTTTATTTATTAAGTCATAAGAGAAAGTGAACTTAATAATATTTCCAATCAGCTAATTTTTGAATAAAGCTATTTTAACCAATATAACATCATGGCTATGTCCAGTGAAATAATTTAGTGAAAAAGCACCACATTCAGCAATTTTGCTACCACTATGCTTGACCAAAGTGCTTCTTCAAAAAGAGGGGGAAACTTTTAGTTCATTTTCTAAAAGAGGGTGCAACACAGAATTGATAAAAATAGATCAATAATAGTATTTTTAAATTTATTTCATAACTAGCGTTTTATAGGGAATTTTATATCCTGTTGCCAGACATAAAATACATTTCTTTATTTCAACTAAAAAATAATACCCAATATTTTAAAATTTCTTGTATTTTTAAATTAAGAGTGATCCCTCACTTGGTTTGGGTGCAGCAAGCAACGAAACACGTGTACAGTTGAGAGACCCACAATGAGTGTAAAATTAAAAATGAATAAATAAAAGTGGAACATCAATATCATTATTATTTAATACCGTGCATGTACTACTGAAAATTTTTAAAATGCAGCAAATTTTTCTGCTCTTTAGAAGAAAAAAAATTTCATATATATCGACATATTGTTTGACTCCTAATACAACTTTCTGCTAACTTATTTAATTGACTGTGACTTTTACTGACCTCAACCCCTGTGTATAAGTGTACGTGTTCCTGGAATTTAAACAATAGGGAAAGAACAATGAGGAGAGCCCGGCAAAGAAAGGAAAAAAAAGGTACAATTCTTGTAATAAATATTTGATTGTTTGAGGAACTAATTTTTAAACTAAAAAAAGTTTGCAATGTGCATAAGCGAGTGCTTTCTTAGTGTGCACATAAAGGAGCAATTGTTTTTCTACATCTGCAGTCAGAACCATAAAAAAACATGCATAAATGAGAAAAACACATAAGATAGAAATTATTGCATTTCTAAAAATTGCAAATTAAAGACCTTTAATGTGAAATTTCATATCAAAGAATGCCAACTGCGTAATATCTGCTTTAAAAGTTAAATAATTTTGAAAGGATACTATTCAAAATAATAGATAGTAAATACTTATAAACATACTTTTTTGTATCAACTTTTTTATTATCAAAATTGTATTCATCATACACTCGAGTACCCTTTAAAAAATTCCAGTCATCTAAAGCTAGGCACTAATTAAAATGCATGATATAAATTTGTAATTAGAATGAAAAATAAATTTTATTTATAAAAGAAGTTCATTAAATGTGCCATCACAGGACTTTTAAAAATGAGTGTCAACAGTATTCAAATTTATTAAGGAATTCAATATGCATAAATTAAAACACCATTTTTTTTAAAAATTGAACAATAGAATTTTTATTAAACCAAGTAATTGTTGAAACTAATTTACCTCTTCTATTATATATATTCCATAATCTAATTGTTGTCTTTGTAGTATTGGATGCACATTGTGTAGAAAAATGCGCAAATGTTCTTCTCTATCTCTATAAGGAATGATTAAGGCAACCTTACTTCTGGACAAACAGTCATTTGGCTTGAATCTACCACCAGGATTTAAATCTGTAAACATCTGTTCTAAAGCAACAAATGGTGGGGACTCAGTCAAAACTTTGAGCCGTCCAACTGCAATTTTTATAAAAAAAAAAATTAATACAAAACATACATCAAATAAAGATTAAAATGTTGAAGCCACGTTTAAAAAAAATTATGCAGATAACAAATAAAATTTGTGTGTTTGAACTTGGCCACTTGATTAAACATTGTAAACAAACAGGGTGATCGGTTTCAAAATCAACTCTACAATAAATCTGCTTCCTACAAATCAACATTTTTTCAAAAAATAATTATTAAAATAAAAATATCACCTTTAGGTCAAAATTGAACAGCACTTTTTTGTTTCTGTAAAGGACAAAAATTTATAACTTTCAGAAGAATAACATTTTGAATTAAAAGAGATTTAATATGAAGCGATTTTTATTTGCTGATTCTAGTTCATCTTGTTAGTTTAAATTTTTCAAACAAGAAAAAATACATGCTTTTCATCAGTCATTTTTTTAGACAACATATTCTGTTGGTAATATTTCTTATAAAAAATTTTTTTAATAAAAATTTGAGGCTCGAGCACCTTAGTCTACCTCATAGGATCATGCAACACAAATATATTTAGAAGCAAAAATCCCAATGAAGGATAAATGATATCTAATTTAGTAATTACAGCATTTTCTTAGATATATGAAATAAATGCATAATTCAAGATTAAAGTTTTACAAAATAAGATTTCAAATAAATAAAAAAAACATGATTATTTCAACTACACACAATTAATTTTAATGAATATTGTAAATACATTTTGGGCACTTATCAGTGATTTTACATAATGAAAAAAAAAAAAAACTTAATATCAGCAATTGAAGTTATCAATTATTTCAAATTAAAGTTATCAAAAGTACATCAAACTATAGCTGTGCAATGAATAGCCTGTTATTCCCTGAACAAAATCCAAGAAAAATAACAATTATGTATGTTTTCATGCATTATTGCTGCATCAACACTTGTTGGATACTAGAAATATTGATTGCAATTTCATAACAAAAACTTAATTCACTATAGAATATTGCAACATTAAAAATATAAAAATACAATTTAAAAATATTATGCCAATAAAAATATTGTTCTTAATCAAAATTTCTTATAAGAATGTAATGTTTCATAAGATTTAATTATTTTTGAATGTCTAAATAAGCAGAATTTCTTGAGTAATTTTGAAGAGTGTGCAAAATATTCTTTTTAAAATGTCCTTTTACCAAATCTTCCTTGGTACTTTATTCTAAATCTTGTCTCTGTTTAACAAAGATAAAAAGTAATATTGATGGTCAATTTTATTATGTAAACAAAATTAGAAAGTAAATTTTGTAAAGAAAATGTACAATTGTAGACAAAAGGATTATAATGTAATTTTTGTTTGCTAATTTTTATTAAATATTTGTTAACTTTTATTTATCGAAATTCTGCATTCTTCCTTTCTGACTTGAGTAACTTAAAATTTTGTTATGAAAAAAATTGATTTCTAAAAAATTCTTTGACTTCTAAAAATATGTATAAAAATAGGGGTCTGTCCAATCCGAATTTACTACCCTTTAGCGGTAGGCCTTCACAAATTCAACTTTAGGAAAAACGGCAGTTTCACAAATTTCAACTTCAGGAAAAACAGTAGTTTTACAAAATACTTTTTCCTAAAATTTTAATTTTGTATCCCTTAAGAAACGATAAATCCATGTTTGTGTTGATTTTTTTAATATAATTTTTAATTTTTCACAAATTATGTCTAAATTTTCACAAAATAGGTATCTCTCAGAAAGACAAACCCCTGAAAAAAATAAGTTTAATTAAAATTAAAAATTCTTAACCGTATAATTTTTTTAAAAAATTATTTTATCTTATTACATTTTCTTGATAGAAATCATTACTAAGATCTCTTCACGTTCAAAAAACAACTTATCTTAAGACTTAACAACTGCTTTTAAAACTAAATAACTGCTAATTTTTTTCTTTTTTCTAAACCATATAAGAGCATTGATTATTGAAAAACTCTGCAATGAAAAATAAGAATGCAATGATTTTTGATATTGGAATTTCTTTCTTTTTTTTTTGGCAGATCATTTTAACGCTAATGTTTACAAATCCTGTGAGATATATAAACTTTGAATTTTTGCATCTTACTTTTCAATTTCTCTGTATTTGACATGCAAATCAGTAACAGTTTATTACAAATCAGTGTTAATCCTTGAAACCTTTGTTTGGTTTTTGTTTACACTGAACATTTCCTTCCTAAATATCCTTTATTCACTTTAACGATTTTAATTCGAAAAAAGTTTCCATGTGTTCTAAACAGAGTGGCTATCTTCAGTGTTTTCATTATGGCATATGGAAATTCTCTGGAAAAATCTGGTGATATGAAAAGCTAAAATTTTTAGAACTCAAATAATCAAAATTGGTCAATTCTGACATATTCTGAATAAATGAGCTTATGCAGTTGGTTAATATAATCATTTTCTTTTCTCAAATATTATTATAATTTAATCTAAGTAAGTAAAAATTATACATAGTAATATATATACAACAAAATAAATACAAGAAAACACAAAGAAAGTTAAGAAAAACAATAAGTTTCATTAGCGGATATATTGTGTGAGCTGATGAAAAGATTATATCTTTTATTTTCCGGTTTTTTAAAAAAAAAATTTCATCCTTTTTTCTTTTAATCAGTCGTTTTTTTTTCATTATTTGTTCCCCCCCCCCTTTTCATATGTCTATTTAAATACAATAATAATGAAGAATTGAAGAGGAAAAGAACAAAATATAAAATTCCAAATAGAGACAGAGCCAAATTACTAATGTAATAACTGGAAGAATATTTGAAGAAAAATATTGCCCTCTCCCGGCAAAACTGCCATGTATGATGTATGTCAGTGCTTTCACTTTAAGGCCATTCGCTTGCTCGATCGGGAGAAAAGCAACCCCCATGTTATTCTATGGACAGTTCAGTACTGCATAAAATCGTCAATTTTCAAGATAATAACTTTCTGTTTTTTGGAAACAAAAGAAAATAAAAATATCTTTATTATCCTGTCTGGAATTAAATTAAAAAATTTTTTTACTATTTTTTAAATTCGAAAAACTCATTCCAACTTCCAACAGTTTTTATCCATAGTAGTTTTTCTCTCATCTAGTTTTTAAGAAGGGAAAATTAAGGTTAAATTCTTATCTTTCATTTAAATAAAAAAAGAACAGAATTATTTTTAAATTTGACCGAGAAAAATGGTACAAAGACTTCACGAAATTTGAACTTTAAATCTAAGCTAACTGAGTTATTGTGCTGCCACCTACAATGAAGGCGTTGATTTACCTAATTATGCGAAGTGAAAAAAGAGAACCCCCTTAGTCGGCTGGTCACTGATTG